TCACGACTGGAAATTCCAAAATGTTAGAGCTGATGTTTCAGTTTAAGTCTAAAGGCTGAGTCTGCTATAGCCGTGGTTGGAAAACTGCGGCTCATGAGCCACATGCGGCTCTTTGGCCCCTTGAGTGTGGTTCTTCCACAAAATACCACGTGCAGGCGCGCATGTACAGTGCGATTGAAACTTCGTGGTCCATACGCAGAAGTTGGTATTTTGTGGAAGAGTCACACTCAATGGGCCAAAGAGCCGCATGTGGCTTGCGAGCCACAGTTTGCTGACCACTGTGCTATAGAAACAAAAAGAGCTGATGTCCCATTTCAAAGGCTGTCTGGAAGGAGGAATTTTTCTTACTCAACAGAGGTCAGTGTTTTGTTTCATTCAGGCTTTCAACGGGTTGATTTAGGCCCACCATGTTAGGAAGAGCAATCTGTTTTATTTAGTCTACTGATTCAAATATTAATCTCATCCAAGACACCCTCACAAAAACACCCAGGATAATGTTTGGCTAGGATTTTAGACAGTCTTCTTAAAGTTACTGATGACCTTTGAGTTAGGTGCTGGTGCTTCTTGAGCAGATTTTGTCTTTCTTTTTATTTAATAACTAGAGGCCCAGTGCATGAAATTTGCCCAGCCTGCACCCTCTCCAATCTGGGACCCCTCGGGAGATGTCTGACTGCTGGTTTAGGCCCAATCCCAGGAATCGGGCCTAAACCGGCAGTCGGACATCCCTCTCACAATCCGGGACTGCTGGCTCCTAACTGCTCACTTGCCTGCCTGCCTGATTGCCCCCAACTGCCCCCCCCCCCCATGCTGGCCTGGTTGCCCCACCCAGCCTGCTGTTCAGTCATTTTGTTGTCCCTCACTAACCCCCCGCCAGCCTGGTTGCCCCACGCAGCCTGCTGTTTGGTCATCCATCCAGTTGTTTTGGTTGTGACGACCCCTGGCTTTTTATATATTAGGATTGGCATCGCTATGATTCTCAGGGGGATGGTAAACACAGGGAACCATTTTACATGTTACAGTTTCATTATTACTTTTCTTGAAGAAGAGAAAGTCAAGATAACTTACATTTTCATTACTCATGCACTTTCCTTTTTTTGTCGAAGTCATTGCTACTGAGGGTTATTGAAAAATGAAAATGCCATAGCAAACACCAAGATAAATAATTGCAGATTCACACTGTACAGTAAATGGCACTGTCTGCAGCAAGGCTGCTCCCACCACTGTCTGAGCCCATTAGCAAGACGCCTGCCTTTGAGCTCCTGCACATCATGTGTATACCCTCACTTGTCACTCCCACCTTTCCCTGCTGACCCGGTGGCTTCATACATTTGCAGGCCATGGCACAACTGGCAGAACAGCAATACTGTTTGTCCCTTAGCATCACCCCAGAGGGGAAACTAACTCTCATTAGTTGCTATATCTGCATGCATTTCACCATTTCAAGGACAGTTGCATGCGTTGTCCCTGAGAGGGTAACACTGAGTCAGGAAAGGGTGGGAAGGACAGGCAGGTCGGCCCTCATCATCTTTTGCATTTAGCCTTGAGCTGAGGTGAAAACTTGCTCACTGCGCATGTGACTCACACACCAAGAGAAGCAATCTTGGGGGAAGCTGGAAGTACAAGTGGAGGCTACCAGTCCTATCCAATTCTTAATTGGATTCCCTTAAGCAATGACAAACTAGGCAGGACACAGGGACAATAGGAGTCAACCAGCAGGTATGGTCACCTCACCAATGGGGCACTTTATCCTCGGTCTCTAAGGGATGCTCCAATCTTAGCCTGATTTTAGGGCATTTTCTCAGCTTGGGGTTTCCACACCTGGTGTCAGCATCCACGCCTGCCTAAGAGTGGGGCACAGGTGGGACTGCCCTCCCACAGTAGACCTGAGGTCATCCACAAGTTGCTACAGAAGGCTGCTTAGTGCTGCTTCCTCAGGTGGGGCAGTGGGAGGGGCTTTCCCAGGGGGCCCTCCCATTCTCTGCTCTAACCTTGATAGAGAAGGCTCAGTTTTAGCTCCCCTGGTGTAGAGGGCTTGAGGCCCCCACCCCTGTTTCTGCGGAAGCCTTGGATCCACTCGTCGCTGTGGGTTCCCTCCTCATTTCTGGTTCCTTGCGACTTCCCCATTCCCAGGTCCTTCATAAGCGCAACTCAGCTCCATGTGAAGCAGACCTTTAACAAGTTCTGTAACCAGGACATCTACATAATTGGGGAGGAGCTGAAGGGGGACAGCAGCTTCTCAAGCCTGCGCAGGGACCTGTGCTTGGAATTAAACTTTTCCAAAGCCATTTGGTTTGCTCCTGGGCTGGAAGGGCCTTGGGCTTTAGGGTGTCCCCCCTCCTCCTCAGACACCAAGCCTCCAGGCTTCCCCTGTTTGTCCTTGGGCAGATGACACCAGGTGACTATGGAAATCAGCTGGGCATAGAGGTGTTGGTCTCCCTCGCTAAATGGGGAGATCTTTTTGAGGACAGTACCTTAAGGGCAAGGCAGGCTCTTATTTCCATCAACCCTACTTTTGCCCTTGGCAGGTCCCTCACAGGGAGGAGTGTCTAATACCTGAGAAGTTTGATAAGCTTCCCAATACTTTTGTGAACAGAGGAAGGGAGTTCCATGATTTTCTTAAAATTTGTATTCATTCATTCATTCATTCATTCACTCACTCATTCTTCCTTCACTTACCAAACATTATTTAACAACTGTACCTACTATGTGGCTGAAACCCTAACTCCAACCCCATCCCTTCCAGGTTAGGGAAAGCCACCCCTACGGATGAAATGAGGGGGTGGGTCTTTCAGGCTGACTATGTGGACACACAACTTTAGGAACCACCTTCTCCCCCCTCACAGCTTCTGCATTACCCCCTGGCCCCCTTATTAGACACTTGGTTTGTGCTAGGAGGATGGCCCTGGCCACACTGGGGTTCTACCCATGGGGTGGTGACTGGAGGCACCCATGGTAGGAGTCCTTCTGGGAAGGGTCAGGTCCAGCGAGGAAAGCAGTGTCAGTAGTCCATTGTGACAGTTCTGGATACAAATGGCCTGAATCTGAAAAGGTTTAAAGCCTTGGGGGTCCCGAGGATCTCTCTGGGCAGTGGCAAGGCAAGGCTGGGATGCGGGGTGTGGGTGTGGATGGGATGGTTGAACCTCCCTCAACTTGGAAGTAAGGCAAGGCAAGAGGGAGCTACAATCCCTTTTACTGAATTGCCCCAGCCTATCGTCAACTGATACTTCCAATGCCTTTTGGACACAATAGCAGTGCTCACAGCCCGGTTTGTTCCTTGGTTGGCCGGGGTGTCTGATTATGTCCTGCTTCAGCATGGGGGTGGGGGGTCGTCTCCAGCATATAGCCTAAACATGGAGCAGTACCCACTTGCCCCTTCTGCATCCCCCAAACACACAGACACATACATGCTTGCACATATGTGCACACAAACACATACACAGCTGCATGGGTGTTTGGGGACCCTGGTCAGGCCTGGACAGGATAGGATGGCAGCTCTCACACTTCCCTTTGGGCCCTGGCAGTTTCAGTAGATATGGATGTTAAAAAATGTCTGTGGAGTGAAGGATAAATATATAAGTGAATGAATGAAGAGATGAAACATTTAAGGAAAACCTGGAACCTCCTTCTTCTGTCCAAAGAGGTATTGGGAAGCTTATAAAATGTCTCAGGTATAAATTATCCTCACTATGGCATCAAGGTAAGATGGAGAGAGAGAGCCTGGGGTAGTGTTCCCGGTGAGGCCCTTTCCAGGCCAGAGTTCCTGTCTCCTGGAATTTTCTCAGAGGGCCCCAGGGCTGGTGACATGCCCTCCCGGGGCCCCCTCTTTCTCCCTAAGTTCAGCCTGGCCTCCAAAAGCAGGCTGGCTTTGCCTGGAAACAGAGACCCAGGCACATCTTCGGTGGCAAGACCTAGAAAGCAGCTGTGGTCATGAGAGACAGTCGTGAAAATGACAGGGAGAGCTGCACTGTGGCCCGTCCCATTGTGAGCAAGGAGCATGGGGTGGACGGCAGAGATGACAGCAGGTCACTAGCCTGGGAAGAGTCAGTGAGAGGTAATGTCCTTTCTGCCGTGATCTCTGGGGCCCATTCACCTGTCAATTATATGTCTGCAGTAGCCAACAGCTACAGGATTTGTGTGACTGTTTACACATGGCACAATGTTGCAGGGGAAAGAGCACATGAATGAGTCTGGAAGCCTGAGTTCTAATCCTGGTTGTTTCATTGCCTCGCTGAGTGACTTTGAGTAAATACTCCACTCCTCCTTGAACCTTGAACCCCCTTGACAAATGGAAATAGCAAACCTTGCTTCATCTATCTTCTAAGGAAGATGGACCTTCGACACCAGCCCGGAACTCTCCCACTTGATAGAAGAGAGAGCTGGGGCCCTGAGACAGAAAGGACACTGGCAAGGTCACACAGCAGACCAGCAGCAGAGCTGGGTTTGAAACCTGATCTCTGACCTCTAAGACAGAGCTTGCTCCCCTGACTCAGTCTAAACAGAGTGGATTCTCTCAGAAGGAAGAGTTCTCTGGAGGCACCAGGCTCCTCCAGCAGGGAGACCAGCACATGTAGAGCAGGCTGCATGTAGAGTGGTCTACTCTGTGTACCTGTCTCAGAAAGGCCACAGAATCCTAGGACCTGTTCTCCCCATGCGAGCAACAGAACCAGTGTGTCCCCTAGAAGTCCTTCTTGGTGTCTGGTGTCACCCCTACTCTTACCTGCTTCAACCCACTGGTGGTGGTTCTGTCTTCAGTGTCTAGACTCAGGCTTAGTAAGGAGGGGCTGTTTGCTTGCCCACCAGGCACAAAGCTCTGTGCTTGGCAGAGAACAGCCTTCTTATTTGGGTTAGATTTTCAGGTGGTAGAAGATGGTTTCCAGAAAGAAGATAGAGATAAGATGATGGGTGTTGTGACATTTCTTTTAATCACTAGAAATCACTGACCTATTGGGTGCTGAGCATAATACCTAATACTTCCATAATAGTCAATGATTGTTCCTCAATCAGTCTTTAGATTCCCTCTTGCCTTTTGCTTTCTTTGCTTTGCGTGCTTTGTTGATCTTAAGAGATTCATCTTGGCCTAGCTGGCCACTGATGGAGAGTGGGAAAGGGATAGGAGCATTGAGATTTAAAGTCTTCTTCTGAAGTTTCAGGTCCAAAATATCAAAAGTTGTCTGTATCTCATACTGAAGCAGCTCTTTCAGGCACTTGATCTGGATGTGAATGGCCTCATTGATGAGATTTTCTAACTCCTGGAAGAAACGGAACATGGCTGGTGAACAGGCCTCAGGGGAAGGCCTCTGTAGATAAGGTTCCTCAATAGGATCCAATTCTCTCCTCTTACTGAGTGCTAGCACCTTCCATTTCCCTCCACCCTTCACCCTACTTTGCCCTGGGAGGCCGACTTATGAGGGCAGCATCAATAGGCTACCTTAGCTTTTGGCTTCTGGTGGAGTTCCACCAATGGGAGGTTCTGGCAGGAGATCTGAGTGTGGGAGAAGAATGAAGTCTCTCACCTTCCTCCCAACCAGCTCTGGGTTGGCCATAGCTATGATCCTCTACCTACAGCTAGACCTCCAGCAATTGCTCCTTTTCTTCTCCATTCTGGTGTATTGTGGTGATCACCCTATTTGAGTGTGTCATTTATTACTAACATTGTTCTGGAACCACAGGCCAGTGCCATATCCCCTGCTTTCTGGCCAACACAAGCTCCATTTGGATATCATTCCCCTTCCTTTTTCTCCTGCCCTCATCTCATTCCCACATATCAAAGTTTTAGTAGCTTCTTTGGAGAGGATGGGAAATTTCTTAGAGAGTGGAGAAGTCCTCCAACCAGCCACCCACCACCTGCCACCTTAAACAGGAGACCTTCTCTGTCATCTAAACCCGGATTACGGCATCATGAAATCATGGAGACATGAACTATGTAACTATTTTTTCCAGTTCCCTGCTCAAGCAGCCAAATAGCAGTTCATGCCTGCACTGGGGGTGTTGGGGGACATACTTGGAGTATCCAGTTGCCTAGAAAACATTTCTTTGAGATCTCATATTTTAGCTCAAAATCTCATGGAAAATCTTACATTTGCCCCAGAATGTTTCCTTGATTGTCTATAATAATAAAAGTGTAATATGTTGATTAGACCAGAGAGCCAAATGACCTTCCAGATGTCATTCCGGACGTCCTTCTGGATGAAGCCATGGCGGTGGGGGCCAAGGAAAAGGCAGTTAGGGGTGATCAGGCAGGCAGGCGAGTGGTTAGGGATGATTAGGCAGGCAGGCAGGCAGAGGCAGGTAGGGGTGATCAGGCAGGCAGGTGAGTGGTTAGGGGTGATCAGGCAGGCAGGCAGAGGCAGTTAGGGGTTATCAGGTAGGCAGGCAGAATGGTTAGGGGTGATGAGGCAGGCAGGTGAGCGGTTAGGAGCCAGCAGTTCCGCATTGCAAGAGGGATGTCCGACTGCCAGTTTAGGCCTGATCCCACAGGGATCCCAGCAGTTGGACATAGCCCGAGGGGTCCTGGATTGCGAGAAGGTGCAGGCCGGACTGAGGGACCTCCCCCATGCACAAATTTCGTGCACCAGACCTCTAGTTTTTATATAAAAATAATGTTCTTCCCCTAAATCCTTAGGAAAGATTGTGCTCTAAGAAGATGCACCATGTTTATTCTATGGTGTTGAGTGTCCCCAGCTCAGGCACACCACCAGGGGCACACAGCGAAGGGGACCCTAGCCACAATCCACCTGGCAGGGACCAGCAGCAAAGTGATTGAGACCCACAGGGAAGCTGGGAGGAGCAGGGAGAAACAGCTGTGTGTGTGTGTGTGTGTGTGTGTGTGTGTGTGTGTGTGTGTGTTGGGGGAGGGGAGTGGTGTGAGTAGGAGTTGGACAGGAGGTATCCCCTTCTACCCATGTCTTTGCCCACATATTCTAGAGCAAGATTCCTGGAAGGGCATGGAGACAAGCTCCCACTTGGGTTCTGTTGGTCCCCATTGGATGGCTTAATGCACTAAGATTATGTAACAACCTGACGAGCTATTTACCTGGGAGACTTAACTTTAGAAGAGTATCATTCCTTCTGTTGTGTTTATTGTTCTTTAGAGATTTTTTCAATGTTTTATTTGAATACTTTCCAGGGCCATTTACTCTTTGCCTGACAATTCAGAAATACCTCCCTCCCCTTCATTTTTGTTAATCCTCTCCCATGGATATTTTTCCATTGATTTTCAGAGGTAGAGGGGGATGGAGGGAAACAGAGAGAGAGAGAGAGAGAGAGAGAGAGAGAGAGAGAGAGAGATATGAAAAAGGCACATCAGATTGGTTGCTTCCGGTACATACCCGACCTACACCCCCACCGAACCTGCAACCCAGCTACATGCCCTGACCAGGAATCAAACCTGTGATCCTTTAGTATGTGGGCTGATGCTCTACCACTGAGCTACACTGGCCAGGGCAAAAACGAAAGACCCTATGACTTCAATACCACATCTGGTTATTACCCCTCATACATGTGTACATGTACATACATATGCACATGTCACATGTCTGTGTGTTCAAAGATGATCCAACAGTGATGATATCAGTGCCTATGTATAGCTAAAAAGTGAGTTTAGACTCTGCCAGGCCCTCAAGAAGTTACTGCCCTGAGGCCAACCTAGTCACCATTTATTAAAGAGCTGGTCACTGGAGACTCTGGCTGCTGGAGGGCAGCCCAGTTTCTTAGATCCACACACCCCACTTCTTTACCCACCTCATTGCCTCACCCACTCTGAGCTGTGTGACCCATGGCCCTTCCTTTGTCATCTCCACCCAGGCCTCGTGGCAGGCAAAGGGCCCTGAGAGAATCTGTGGTGGTTCAGAGCTTGGGAGTCTTTCTGGGTAGAATCTGTCACTGATTCCTGATGCAATGGAAAGAACTTGGACTTCGGAGTCACCAGGCCTCAGTCTAAATCTAAATTCCACCACATGCTAGCTTGGTGACCCTGAGCAAGTTGATGAACTTCTCGGAGCCTCAGTTGGCTCATCACTAAAATGGGAACATGAATTGCATCTTATAGGCATATTTCACGAAACGTGCATGCAAAGCGTGTGGCAGATAGTCAATGACTTGCTGTCCCTTTCTGCCCCCTCCCATGTGTGCAGACAATCGAAGTCTTGTTGGTGCCTGGATGTTCTCTTGGTAGGAATGAATGTTTGTTCATGACAGGTGAGCAGCATCCCTCCTTGCAGGCACAGCCTTACCTCTCTCTCCAGAACCTGTTTCTGCTGCACAGTCACCTCCGAGAACTTCTTCTGCAGCATGTGCTCCTGCTCCAGGTGCAGCGCCTCCTTCAGGAGCAGCACGTTGGTGCGCTTCTGCACCTCGGCCATAGTGAGCTCAGCCAACTTCAGCTCAAGCTTCCACAGGCCCCTGTCCTTGCCCTCAGCCAGTGGGAGGGGCTGGGGTGGCACACACACCTCCACGTGGTTGACGGTCAGGTTAACTTCTTGGTCCTGGCCCAGGACATATTGGTAGAGTCTGTAGTGGCGGATGAAGGTGTTGTAGAAGTAGTCGCAGAGGGCCAGCAGGTGGGTGGTGTTGAACTGCCCCTGATAATCTCCAAGCTTATTCCTCAGGATGGTAATGGCGTCGGTGATGGAGCAGCCTATGGGCAGAGGGTACGGGCATGGAGTGAAGCAGAAGACGGTTGCATTGATGGCTTGACCAACATAGGCTCTGAACCCAGGCACTCTGACCCCAGAGCCCATGGGGTCAGAGCCTGCCAGCTATTTTATATTACTACTTACTAGCTTTCAGAAGCTACAGGATGTACTACATTTCCCTTCTTACCTTGGATTCTTGGAAGCTCGAAGCCAATTTTATGTAATAACATTTATCCCATTATTTCCTTATGTGATTATCCTCCTTTCCTATATTTTTACTTTTAACTCATTGTAAAGCCTTCCTTCAGCTGTGCCTTATATTGTTCCCACTTCAAACCCTTTGGGATGGAGATGAGGTGTAAAAAAGGGAGTCTGATAAGAGAGGAGTGTGAGATGATTGGAGAGATAGATGTTATATTGGAGATTTGTGTCACAGAGTTACTAGGCAAATACTGTTTGTACCACGGAAGTATCAGCTCTGTGGGTGGGGCCATTGGCATCCCTCACAATGTGAAAGTCCAAGTCCTACGGGGGCTCATCCATCTCTTCCTTTTGACTTGGTTGCCCCCCACCTCCTCCTGGCACACCAGCCTCAGCCTAGGGTGCCCTGCCCTGTGCAGGACTCACTCCTCAGGAGTGCCACTTTCCCACAGAGGCCCCTGAACTACCCCACCCCACACTCCCTGGAAACTAGTTCTTTTGCCATATCAAGCAAAAGTTAGAAGTTTAGTGAAAAGAATTTTTAAGAAATCAACTTCATCTGGAGGTGGAAGAGGGAATAGGGAGACTAAATGGTGATTAGAGAAAAAAAATAAAATAAAAAAATAAAAAAGAAATTAACTTTATCAATTGTTTTGCTAGAAAAGTGACAGTTTCAACTGATATAAGATTTGTTGCATTGTTGTTATTATTATGTATTTATGTAAATTGCTCATTTGCATATTTAATTTGACAATTACAATTTAGGTAGGTAAATAAATTACATTAAAAGTTACTCAGAAAGTATAATTACAATATAGTTAGATGTTGATAGCTTTTCATCTTTAATTTATTTATTTATTTATTTATTTAAAATTAAATCTTTATTGTTCTGATTACATTTGTTCCTCTTTTTTCCCATAACTCCCCTTCTCCCAGTTCCCGCCCCACCCTCCGCCCTCACTCCCCACCCACTGTCCTCATCCATAGGTGCACGATTTTTGTCCAGTCTCTTCCCGCATCTCCCATTCCCCTTTCCCCCGCCCCAAGAATAGTCAGTCCATTCCCCTTCTATGTCCCTGATTCATTGTAATCACCAGTTCATTCTGTACATCAGATTATTTATTCACTTGATTCTTAGATTCACTTGTTGATAGATGCATGTTTGTTGTTCACAATTTGTATCTTTACCTTTTTCTTCTTCCTCTTCTTAAAGGAAACCTTTCAGCATTTCGTATAATACTGGTTTAGTGGTGATGAAGTCCTTTAGCTTTTCCTTATCTGTGAAGCTCTTTATCTGACCTTCAATTCTGAATGATAGCTTTGCTGGATAAAGTAATCTTGGTTGTAGGTTCTTGGTATTCAGTACTTTGAATATTTCTTGCCATTCCCTTCTGGCCTGCAAAGTTTCTGTTGAGAAATCAGCTGACAGTAGTATGGGTATTCCCTTGTAGGTAATTGAGTCTCTTTCTCTTGCTGCTTTTAAGATTTTCTCTTTGTCTTTTGCTCTTGGCATTTTAATGATGATGTGTCTTGGTGTGGTCCTCTTTGGATTCCTTTTGTTTGGGGTTCTCTGCGCTTCTTGGACCTGTAAGTCCATTTCTTTCACCAGGTGGGGGAAGTTCTCTGCCATTATTTCTTCAAATAGGTTTTCAATATCTTGCTGTCTCTCATTTTCTGGCACTCCTATTATTCTGATGTTGGTACGCTTGTAGCTGTCCCAGAGGCTCCTTACACTATCTTCACACTTTCGGATTCTTTTTTCATTTTGCTTTTCCAATTGGGTGTTTTTTGTCGAATCTTTGGTTTGATTCTTGAGCTCCTCTGGTCTGCTATTGGGTATAATATTCTTTATTTCAGTCCGTGTATGCTTACTTTCTAATTTCTTTATCGTAGCATCGAGGGTCTCATTAGTTTTCGTGAGGCTCTGCACAAATTTATGGCAAGCCCTCAAAATTGCGATTCTTAGCTCCATATCCTCCATTTCTGTCATGTTTTTTTGTCTCCGCATCTTTTATGCTTTCTTGGTGCACCCCCTTGTGGTCTTTGTGCGCAGTCTTGTTCTAGCCAAGCCTTAACTGTTGTAGTTAACACTAGAGGGATTTGACCACCAGGCCGACTGGCTGTAGGAATCAGCTGTGTGGAAAACGTCTGTCTTCTGGGGAGGCGCTAATCCAGCCTTTGCCTGAGGCGATCGGCAAATGGCTGTGCGCAGGGCCTGGGCGGGGCGGGCTCAACAGGGCGGGCGGAGGGAGCAGTTATGGCCGCTCTCAGTCCCGTTCCCAGAGGCTCTGCTTCTCAGAACCCCGGCAGCCGCTGCAAACCTCGGAGAGAAAGCTGCCCTCAGGTTCCAACTGATGCCGGATAATCCCGCTTCTCCCGTTTGAGTCTGGGTCCCTAGAGACTCGCCCAGATCTGGAGCCCAGAGTCTGAGACTCACTCCCGACCGAAAACGACAACCGCGCCCTCAGCCACCAGCCCGCTTTCGCGCGCACCTCGATACCTTTGTATTTTCCACACTGCGCCTCCTCTGAGCCTCGGTTTGCTGTTCTCTTTCCTTCTAGTTGTAGAGTCTCTCTTCAGCCAGCCTTCCTGTGGTTCTGGGTGATGTCCGTTCCGTCTTTTAGTTGTATTTTTGAAATGGTTGTTTGCGGCAGCGGTCTCCGGTGTTTACCTACGCCGCCATCTTGGTCTCTCGAGCTTTTTCCATCTTTAATTTAACTTAGTCATCCTTAAATTTTATTTAGTCATCCTTAGCCCTGAATTGAATACAAAGAGTAAGCTTTCTTTGTGACTAAAGCAGATACTGTACACATCCAGTGTGTAATCAGATGTATAGACTATGGTATTACAACTTGATGGGGGTGGGCAATTAGAAAAAATGTCTGAAAGATCCCCTCAATATGACCCAGCAATCCCATGTCTGAGTTCGTATCCAAAGGTCATTCGATCAGGCTCTTGAAAGGATATCTGCATTCCCATGTTCACTGCAGCGTTAGTCCCACTCACCAAGGTATGGAAACAACCTAACTGAAAGTCGACAGGTGAACGGGTAAAGACTATGTGATACACACACACACACACACAATGGAATGTTATTCAGCCATAAAAAAGAAGGAAATCCTGTCATTTGCAATAACATGGATGGACCTGGAAGACATTATGCTAATTGAAATAAGACACAGAAAGACAAATAACTGTTTGACTCACTTAGATGTGGAAACTCAGAAAATGGAAATCATAGCAGCAGAGAGTAGAATGCTGGTTGCCAAGGGCTGGGGGTGGGAGAAATGCAGAGATGTTTGTTCTTCAGGGAGGCCAAGTTCCAGTTACACAGGATGAGCAAGTCCTGGAGATCAGCTGTGTAGCGTAGTGCCTATAGCTAGCAATGCTGTTCTGAGTGCTTGAAGTTTGCTGAGAGTATACCAAATGTTCTCACTACCAATGAAAGTGGTAACTATGTGAGGTAGTGAATATGTTAATTAGCCTGAGGGTGGTTATCACTTCATAGTGTATATCAAATGTCACCTTGTACACCTTACATATTTGTGAATTACTGACAACTGGAAATTATCCTATATAATAAAAGCATAGTATGCTAATTAGACTGAACATCCTTTTGAACATCCTTCCGGAGGACCTTCTGGATGAAGCTGGGGCTGTGAGGGCCGAGGCAGAGGCCACTGGGGGTGAGGGCCAAGCCCCTTGCATGAATTTTGTGCACAGGGCCTCTAATTTGTTCATAATATGTCAATAAAGCTGGTGGAAAACCACACACAAAAATATTTTTTAAAAATTGCTCTTGAGGAAAACAACAGTAACAGGTTAAGCTGCTGCCTTGGCCTGCGTGTCAGTGTGAGGTACACTCTCTCCCATCTTCTCATTTGTTCTCACAGCTTCTCATTGTGCCTCAGAGACGGAGCCTCAACGACAGCCATCTCTGCATTCTTTGGCCTTGTTCTGGGAAATAAGTCAGCCAGGTTGCTGATCCCGGGGACCTCCTCACCCCTGAACCTTTGTCTCAAGTTGGTGGTGGGGAGGGGCCCAGGGCCAGCAGGAGCCTATGTTCCAGAATCAGCTGGAGCTTTCTAAAAACACAGAGCCCTCCCCGGCACGCGCGCGCGCACACACACACACACACACACGCATGCACACATGCACAAAACACATATACATCAGCACAAAAATGCTGATTCAAGCTGGGGACTGCCTTGGGAATTGCCTCCTAACTTTGATCAATGACCCAGATTGAGCCCAAATAACTCAGACGTTGGCACACAAGGACCATTAAGTCATCAAATGACCAACTGCAGGAGGATGGTGCCAAAGGTCCCAAAGGCCCTATTCTGACAAGTGACCTTGACCACGCATCTGCCCTCAGGACCCTGGTCCCCTCACTAGTGGTATGGCTGCTGGGTCCCTTTCTGCACACATGTGAGCTTCGTGCTGCTCAGATATGGTGGGCATTTTGTTCTATTCCTCTTTTACTTTGGGAGAGAGGTGGTTAAAAGGGACCATATGGAGTCTCTTATTCTTATGGTGCTCATATACATTATACAATTACAGAACAAGCGTTGAGGGCTCCTCTAAAGGCAACATGCAAGTCAGTGCCCAGGGCAAAACAGAGCACCCACTCAAGTGCAGAGAGGAGGAAGGGGAAGCACAATAAGACCAGGTAGGGGAGGCACTCTGCCCCCGGGTGCCAGGGAAGGTTTCCTGCAGAGGGGACGTTGGAGCCCAGAAACAGGATGAGTTTGGCAGAGATGGCATTCCTAGTGGAGGGACAGACGGGAAAAAGGCTAGAGGCAAGCAGAGTACTGTGTGGCTGTGTGTATGGGTCCCATGGCTCAGCGCTCCTGGGAGGCAATGCTGGAGCCCGGGTATCGGGGCTGGGGGACAGGAGACTCGAGGTCTTCAGTTTGCAAAAGTCTCCAGTTGCCAAAAGGCAAGCATTCTAAGGCCGTGGGAAAACTACCTTTCTTCCCAAAGCCGGGTTCCCGAAACCCCAAGTATTCCCAAGGTCGGTTTGCGG